TGGTCTATGATCGCACATTCCAAATTTTGCAAAAAATCACGACTGTAGCTAATTGCTTTTTCTGGTTTAAAACGGCATGTTACGTGAAAGAACATGATGAAGTTACTCTTTTGAGTTAAGTTTTTTTTAATGATATAAATAAGAATTTGAGTAATTGGGGCACAATTTTTTGAAAGTTTTTCAAGATGTTGAACTTATGATCATTTTTCTACAGTTGAAAGATAAGAATTTAAAAACAAAGGCATTCGTTATGCCCTCCATTCTGACATGCTGTTTCAAATGAAAAAAAAAAATCTATAGAATAAGAGTTCATAGAGAATTTTGAATTGCCAAATGAGAGATTTTTCACCCTTCTTTGATGAATACCTCTGGTGAACCATATCATATAGACATCAAAGGTTTGCGATCGCCTATTGAGTCTAAGCGATGATGTGCTTTGTAATCACATACCAATTACATAGTTATATTGGTCTCTCATGATTTTAAAGTGACATTCGATTACAGATAACTTTATCATACAAAGAAGCCATGACGTCATTGGTCTTCATTAAACGACTCATCATGCTTTATGTCGGTACATTTAATGTAACTGTGGGCCTTATTGGTAGTGTCATGCAGGTATTCATTTTAACGACTGTGCCCTATTATTGAAAGAATCCATGTACATTCTATTTTATTATTGCTGCGATACGCGAATGTGGACAGTTTATAACTGCTCTTGGTCCATTTTTCGTTGCTGTGTATATGGACTTTGGATATATTATCGGCAAATGTCACCAATTACAGACGTTTGTATTTATCGTAGTAATATATTATTCTCTGTGGTATGCATATTTTAATTATGATGACATTTGGAATTTTAGCTTATTGAAACATTAAAAAAAAACAATTGTCCTTGCACGTCAACATGTCGATCAACAATTGACAATCATAGTTTTCATTCAAGTCGTGCTTACCTTAATAGGTCTTAGTCCGTAAGGTGTTTATAATGCTTATGCGATTATTACGATGAATATTGAAAAGAATACTGATTGGAAAGCCCAGGAGGCATTGGCATCCAACATTACTTTTCTTTTTAGTTCAGTTGCTTATGCAGTAAGTATTTTGGGAGTCATAGTGTTCATTTTTCATTGTGTGTTTTTAGAAACGATTCTATCTTTTCATGTTTGCATCACCTCGTTTTCGTCGTATGGTAAAAGATCGCATCTTATGGTGGCAATGATCACGACGCACTGTTTCTTTGGCAAGATAATGTTCATCTTATTCATAGCCTTGTTTAACTTCTCATTCGTCTAACCGGCATTTTTTTGTATTTTCTTTAAAAAACTCATGTGTTTTTACATCACAAATATTAGAATAATTGATGTTTCAGCATCCTTAATACAAATGAAATTCACCATCAATCAAAACTGTGAAGGTGCTTTCTGTCATCTCGTTTTTGGCACTCGATTAATACTTGTGCATGAGTGAAGCTAAGTTTTGACTTTTCTTTTCAAGTCTCATCACACTCTTCTGACATTAACAATTAAAGAGCAAAATGTCATTGTGATAATCTATTATTAATACTAGTTCATTGATCAAAGACCGAAATTAAAAACATTGAAACGAAAACATCTTGAAAAAAATAAATTGAGTGTAAAAAAAATATCTACATAGTAGATCATGTATAGCGTTACTTCATTGAATTGTTGAAAGCAATCTCTTTACTTTTCTATGCTTCATGCTGCGATGACTTCTTGCATGTTGTCGTCGTATTTTCATCCTTATTCTTATGTTAAACAGAAAGTTAATTATCGACAGAGAAAGAATAACTTAATGTTCTGCACTAAAATTACCTTGCTCTGACTCCAACAGAAAGAGCTATGAATAAGAATTCGTGAAGTCTGTCTCATTATTCCGAACTAACTAAATTTTACTCGAAGTTGCATTCATCATACGGTAAAAAATAGGTGTAGAATAATAAATTCCTATATTCTTTTATTACTGTCAACATAAATTTCATTGTTCATATATCCTTGTACGGCACTCTGTGTTAATAGACCTTCTTTATGGATATCAATGGAAATAACATTAGGCGAAGGGTTTATTACTTTATGCTTGTTTTTTATACTGTATCTTCAATAGTTTTCTCATGAAATCCGTTGTGGTCATCTAAATACATGATGTAGAAGCAGTATTTTCAAACTATCTAAAACAGTTCAAAACATGTTGTATTCATCATGATTGAGAATCTGATAAAGAAAAGTTTAGTAAAAGCAAAAAAGATGAACATTGATTCATAGCTTATCTCACACTGGTGAAATAATAATGAAAAAACCTTTGAATATGAATATCTACCAACGTAGACGTAGCTATGAATTACTGTTTATTACTTTGATTTCATTCTGTCTTCAGCAGAGTGACTTGAAAGACTTTGCAAATAAAAGTTTTGAGACAAAACGTTATTTTCTGATGTCGGAAACTTAGAAAAAACTATTTCACATTCTTAAAACCTATCATGAAATCAATAAACTATAGTGCATTTGAGAGTAGACACTGTGTTCTATCTCACGAGCTATAAATCAGAAAATCGATAAAATCTACCGAAATAGACTGTTGCTGATCGGAACTTCCTTCATATTTTATTGTCCTTATTACTGTTTCAAAGTAAAAAAAAAAAGATTATTTCTTTATCTCACTGAATGAAAAGGAGAAACTTAAAGCATTGTGCATCTTCTCTTCTAATGTTGCCAGATGATGGAAAATTTCCGAGTATTAAAACTTATTATGAAGGACATGGATAAACAAGAGTATCCAACATAAAAAAGCACCAATGAACCCAAAAACAACATTTGAGCGAGCGGAGGATGATAGAAATTGACGTGCAGTAGTGGCGAACAGGTCATGCATGCGACTTGTGAAATGGTATGTGTCGATAAAGATGTAAGAGTTTGGGTCTGTACAGAGCATCGCTATATTATCAATCGACGCATTCCAACATATGTCTACACTGTTGTTAAATGAATGCATGGAAGGATCAGTAATGATGTTTGAGACGAGCGTGTGTATGTCGAATATGCGTAAAGAGATGTATGCGTAAGCAGTTTGCAGCGACGTAATCATATTCAACAGGTTATGATTAAACTGAAGTGTCATAGCAGTAAAATAGGGATCTTGATCGAGTGCATGAAAAACTGGTATTGTCTGCATAGGTGGTAGATTGAAAACTAAGAGATGTTTGATATTAGTCTTCAGTAGATCATGAATTGCATTTACTAAACTCTCGACAACTACAACAGGAGTTATCGTCTTATTATAGGTAAAATCGTTAATACCAGCCCAAATAATAAAAAGTATGTGATTCCAATCAATCGTAGTTACATTAGTATTGTTCAAGTAGGTCGCAATTTGTTGGCGAACGCCAGGTGTAGGCATTGATTGTGACCACATAATGCTTTGAACCAAACTATTATCAGTCATAGCAGCACCATACGCATAGTTAATTATATTAGACACACCTAACATGTCTATCCATATAGGGCCATTTGAAAATCGACCTTGAAAATATGGTGGTCGAGGCCAAAGTTGATTAGTTAATTTATAAACATTGCCTGTATCCGAGTGTGAGTCACCAAAGACTACCACTGTGTCGAACGGAATTCGTTGCGTACTTATTTGTTGCGTGAGTAGTGTGATGAGGAGACCAAGAATGACTAAGACATCAATGCAATGCATTTTCCTTGTATATGTAATCGGTTATGGTAGACGCGTGGTATTTTATTTTTATGCGACCGTACATTACTGATAAGGAGACCAAAAAGCTTAAGAGAGCGATGATAAAAAAAACTGTGTATATAATTTACCTATGCTGTATACCAGAGCTTGGATGAAGGTATGCAAACTTCAAGAACAGAGAAAATCAGTTATCAAGTGCTTTTTTTATCTTGTTGCCATTTAGACTTGCAGTAGGTGGATTTTACAATTTTCAAGCATGATAAATAAAAGTATGGAAATTCTTTAGGAGACTTCAGGTATAAAAAAATGGAATAAGAGCTGTCATGAAAAGAGAGCCTAGCAGAACACTCCTACGCACAATTTTCGTTCTATCCTAATCGATCGTTAGTGAACTACTATTTGAAACTATTTCATCACGATTCAATGTGATTATCCGATGATTCCTTAATTCTTATCAACACTATTCGCATGATCGGAGGACTTGTGGAGTCACTTGAAGTCTTGAAGTCTGACAATTTTTTTCGTCAGTCAAATGCTAGTCAGAGAAAAGTATGCTCAATCAATTGAAGCAAATAAGCAATCAAAATAATCAGTTTTTCTTTTTGTGTGGACGCATAAATATTTTGTTCCATGAACGATTTTCTCTTAAAATATCATATTTAAATGTTCGAAAACGATTTATGATAATTGAACCAGGAAATAGAATTTTTCAGGTCTAATATTATTTACTTTCCCTATAAAACAACCAGTTTTTTTTCTTGTTTTTTGAGTGATCATTTGATGAATGTTCCATAAATAAATCAGCTAAATGTAAAGGAGGTACATTCCAATGAAGCATTACTTCATTACCAAATAAGTCATTCTGTAATGAACAGGTATGGTAAAAATGTCTTTTGAAAATTGATGTTGCTGATTCATATATGGCTACCCTTTTCATTTTTAGTGTCATAAATAGATACAACTAGAAGAAATCATTGATGATATCGATAATTGTATTATTTTTGACGTCAGTACTTTTTCATCGGTCGTCAAAAACATTTAGAGCATTTTCATGGTTTTCTTTTCATTCTATATATTGTTCTTGTATAAGAAGTCGTTTCTCACTTGTTTATTCGACCTTGATACTGTAAAATAGAAGCTTTTGTAATCCAAGTGTGCCATAGTCAGTCATTACCACTTTGTTAGCCAATAACAATTGTTGATATAAACATTAATCACTTAAAAAATTTTCTATTAACATAAAAAAATCTACAGAACATTCATAAACGGTTGAGCAATATATTCACCTAACTTTGGCATAATTTAATTGATTTTCGTCTTACATGTACTGTTGGTTCTTCTAAATCATAATCACAAATGCCTCTAGTAATTAAATGTTCTTTAAATCCACATTGTAATGAATCACGATAAAACCGCTTCGAGAAACTTGTTACTTGTATTACTTGTGGTGTTACTTTATCATCATCATCTTTCTTAATATCGCGATAATCATCAGTTTTTATAGACGGTGAATGAACTAAGTAATTCATGTGTATTGAATTCGAAAATAAAAGTCGTATTTAGAAACGAGTAGTATTCAAGATAAAGAACAATGCGTTACTTTGCCAAATTTCCATCTCTTGTGTTGAATTCGTGTTTAATCTTTCGACTTACTCACAATATCCAATTAAATATTTTTGTACATATTGACGTATATCATTATGTTCCCATGAACATTTATTGACCTATTGCAAGGATCATCGTGATTTTACAAAAATTTTCTACATGTCATTCATACCAATAAGCTTGTGAGCAAACCCAAACGATTTTATTACCTTCCAGCTAGAAAGAGAGAAAAACAGTTTCGTAAAAACGAATACGTAGATTTAGTATACCTTAATAGTATCAAAATCTTCATCGCCTATTTGTTGTCTTATATCAATCTTTTGCCTGATTCTTTTCCTTATATCTCTTTGAGCTCATACTATTGCCCATGCAGTCACGAACTAACAAAATCAGTTACATGGAATGATTTGAGCTGTAAGATTTGTTTTTCTGTCAGTTTTGTTGCCTGTAATAGAACTTCACACTTCTTTCCATACGAAGCTTTTTTTTATCAATGCGTCGCATGTTTTAGTAAATGTTTGTACCAGTTTAAATTTTCTTAATTCTGTACATCATTAATCACTAAGTCAAGTAATTGAGCACTATTCCATGAAATTATGAACCTATGGTCTGTGATTCCTAAATTTCGACTAATGCTTTCTTTTTATTTTCATGAGAATATATAACTACTATAGAGGGTGACGTGGGGTGAGTGTGGGTGTGGGTGTAGGTGTGGATGTGGATGTGGGGGTGGTGGAGTATCGAGATGAGGGTGTCTGGGGATAACTCATCCACACCCACATAGGCAGTCTCATAGTCCGTCAAATGAGTGATGTGCCTTTTTCTCCTTGGCACAGTACCATATATATGCAACATATTTTGCATACTATGAGGTTCATCTTTATATTGGAAACATGATTAGCTAATTACGATCGCACAGTTCGCTTTTCAGTCGATCAGATTTGTTAGAAATCTTCTAAGAGACTAGTAAAATTCTTTTCACAATTTTTCGTCGAAAACTCAAGTTCTCAGGCACTTTTCAGTTCCAACGACAAGTGATGGATACACATGAAATATTCAAAGCAATGTATCTAGAGATGTCTGAAAATAATATCAGTTTTCGAAAAACGCTCATATTCATCCATTTTACCTACTTAAAATTTTTTTACTAAATAAATAGCTAACGAAAAACTGTCGCTATGAATTTGATTGATCAGTTTTAAATTCTCTCTACATGTCAGAGTTTACCAGAAAGTGGCTAAAAACATTGGTTTGTTTCTCTACAAATACACAAGATATCTTATGGGTTGAAATGAATGCCATCTTACTGTCGTCTGTTGATGGTGTATTTTGGCACATAGATAAGTTTTATAGTAAGCAGACCATTTCTGCATTGATCCGAGGCAACGAGAGACAGTACTCTCCATAGCTTCATGATTACGGAGTGTTGAAGAGTAGAGTTTCAGCTACCATTTTTCAAAGAGCTTTCTCCATCGTACGGTAAAATGGATTCAATATTCTGCAAATAAATGGAAGCCAGTGAAAAAAACTTTCTATCAATTTTGTAGTTTATATATGTCTATCGAACAGTTTCTTTTCCATGAACACAACAAGTTATCCAAAACAATGGCTGCAGTTCTGATAAAATCACTCGTTCCGATATCAATTCAAAATAAAAACAAGTGACTTTCAGAGTAGAGAAGGGTGTGGGTGTGAGTGGGATGTGGGTGTGGGTGTGGGTGGGTGTGAGTGTAGGGTGTGTGAGTGTGGGTGTGGAGTGGGTGTGGGGTGTGTGGGTGTGAGGTGGGTGTGGGGTGTGGGCGTGGTTGTGGCTGTGGGTGTGGGTGTGGTTGTGAGTGTGGTTGTGAATGTGGGTGTGGATGTGTGAGTTATCTTCCCTTCATTCATATTCATACTCACAATCAAACCATCCCACCCACCCACATCCACACCCGCACCCGCCCGCACCCCATTCACACCCCACATTCACCCACACCCACCCACACCCCACTCACATCCACCCACACCCACCCGCACCCCACTCACATCCACCCACACCCCACTCACATCCACCCACACCCCACTCGAGAACGTCTCAACTCGTCACGTGACGAGTTGAACAAACAGCAAAAAACAGACCTTTCGTAACACCAAAAATAGGGATATCCAAAAATACAGGGATATCGTAACGAAATTTACAGGGCGATCGTAACGATTAATACAGGAAGTTCGTAACAGTTGCAGAGCTTTCGCAACGACAGAATCAGGGCTTTCGTAACAAAAAATCAGGAGTTTCGCAACGAATTGAACAGGGCTGTTACGAAATGCCTGTAATTGAGGACGTGATGTTTTAAAATGGTACATATCAAATCACAGGTTACGATCACTCTGTAAAATTCGTTACGATAGCCCTGATTTTTTGTTACGAAAGCCCTGATTCTGTCGTTACGAAAGCTCTGTTACGGGCTTTCGTACTGTCAATTCGTTACGAAAGCCAGACAAAAAAAACGTGACGAGTTGACACATTCCCCCCCACTCACATCCACACCCCACACCCACCCACACCCACGCCCCACACCCACATCTACACCCACAGCCACACCCTTAACTTCCAAATCTAACATACATCACAATACGCGACAGCTTCAGAGCTGCTGTAATACTTTCTCGCACGAGAAAAGACTATTTAAAGCTACACCTTGCTTTCACACTGTCGTTTAATGACTTATCTCCTTTGATAAGAAAATGGGGAGAGACTCGCATTGTTGACTGTCGACTTTGTGTTTTTTCCAAATTCCAAAATAAACAGTGTATATCATACTTTATCTTGATTCATAAGTGGAAAAATTTTTTTCCCTTGAATTTTATATTAAAGCCAGAAAAAAATATCATTCATTACCACCTAAGATGTCCTTGGAAGCAACGTTAAAGCAGTGGATGTTACAAATAACATCACCAGAAAATGCTAATCGACTCTCAAGTAGCATAGGACGAATACTGTCATCACCTTCTCCACTACAAGAACTTGAAAAGGCAGCATCAAATACAATATCAAACGTGGAATCAATAATAAGGAAAGATTTTTCACGATCAAATCATCTTGGTCAACAAATAGCAAATGGCGTTTCATTAATAACAGAAAAAATGGGTTTGGGTAAAACAATAGCATTGTGTGTATCAGAAATCTTAAAAGAAAATCGTTCAAAAGCTTGTGATGAAGATTGCCAACCAACTCTTGTTGTTTGGCTTACTAATCCACTCACTAAAGAACACAACAACATGGAATTATACAATACTGTTGATTCACTAGGAATATTTTATGACGGTAATCAATGTGTAGATTATATTTTATCGAAAGATAGCCATAGAGTGTTTTTAATTCTATCTTGTTCACATATGAATACCATTCCATTAATTTGGCAAATACCACACTTGCTATGCATTTATGTATTATGTGAAGATCCTATAAACCATGAACATGATAGTAGTCAGCAAAATGTTAGCAGAATTTATAACGATGAGAATAGCTTGATGAAACAGTTAGACGATGATATTAACTTACATTCAAATGTTGATAATACATTACCAATGCGAATGTTAAGTAAAAATTCAAATGAAAAATCATGTCGTGATTTAAGTGATGAACATACGTCATTTATATGGTTTCAATTATTAATTGAAATATTAATATGTATGCCAGATACAGATGATGCAAAAACTGAAATGATAAATGAATGTCGCTTATGTTATAAAAATAATAACAGTGAATTAAAGAAAATTCAGGATTTTGAAAAAACATATTGTTTAGAAAACACAATTGATTGGTATACAAAAGACTCATTTGTCTATCGTTTATTAAATAAGGCACTACGTACAGAGAATATTGATATTATATTTAAATTTCGTTTCTTTATCAAAAATTTACATCATAATTTAATATTGTTACATGAAGATTTTATCCGATTATTACCATCACCAAAATTTACTGTTTTTCGTGGTCAACATCTATCCGGTATTGAATTAAAAATGTTATTAAATAATATAGGTGGATTTATATCCATCAATTCATTTTTGTCAACAACATCAGTTCGCAATTTAGCGTTGCCGTTTGCCGGCGATGGTTCAAGTAGCCCTTCGTTTGAATCTGTTTTATTTCAGATAGAATGTGATATAAGCAAAAGAAACAAACCGTTTGGAAGTACAAATACAAGTGAAAGTGAAGTATTATTTGCTATCGGTACAGTATTTCGAATTGAAAATATTGGAAAACTAGAAGATAATAACAAAGTTTGGTTAATAAATTTAATATTAGAAGATAACAATGAAAATGAGAGATATATGAAAGAATTAATTGCTTCTAATATGACAATGATTAATACTAATCCAACAGTTGAAAGCATAGCAAAAGTTTTAAGTAGTATGGGTGAATGTGAAAAAGCTCGAAAATATTATGAAATGACTCTTCAAAATATTCCATCGAATGATGTATGTAAGATTGCACATATTACTGCTTGTATTGGTGATTGCGAAAAAGATGACAATGTAGCTTTAAAAACTTATACAGAGGCACTTAAGTTGGAAGAACAATTACCAAATCCAAACAGAATTTTCATTGCACAGCTATATGAAAGAATGGGTGTAACAAATTTTAAATTATCGAATTACACAGAAGCACTTGAATTTCATAAGAAAACGCTTCAGATATATCAACAGGAAAAGTTATCACCAGAAAAACATTGTTTTGCATTAACCTACTATAACATTGGTCGAGTATATAACAAACTTCACGATAAACGCAGTGCATTAACAAATCTAGACAGGTCAATGGAAATATTGTCAAAATCATCTTTGTTAGTTGAATCTGATCTTGCGCTTGTGTACAGTGAAACTGGTCGTGTCCATTTAAGTTTGAAAGAGTATGATCAATCCTTAATGTACTTAGAAATGGCTCTTGATACTAACAACAGATCACCTTATGTAACTAAAAAGTCATTAATTGCACGCAATTATTATGACATTGGAGTTGTTTTATATGAAAAAGGTACTGATGATGACAAAGCTTTAGAGGCATTTCGAAACGCTCTTAATATTTATGATAAACTATTATCGACAAGTCCTGAAATACTAGCAAAGCTACATGATAATATAGCCATGATTCATTGCCGTCGCAAAAAATGGAATCAAGCTATGCAAACTTACACAAAAAGTTGCCAATATCGTTTTGGAGAAAAACATTGAAATGATTTTGATATTTTGAACTCGACTTTTTTGAACTGAGTAAATAGGATCCAGGATGTACTCTAGAGCCTGTCGGGTTCAGGATTTTTGAACTCGTACCCGATCCGGACCCAGCCTATTAGAGTTTTTGAATTCAAACACAATAATAAATCAATTCAGATAGTATATTCAAGAAGTGTGTTGTTTTTTATATATTTTCTAAACACATTTGATTAATTTTCACAAAACGAACAAAACTATTTAAAAAAAGTCAAAATATATTGGGGTGTGGGTGTGGTTCTTCCATACCCACCCACACCCACATCCACACACACCCACACCCGCACCCGCACCCACACACCCCCTTGATATCTTTTTTGTTTTTATTACAATACTTGTTTTATTTATTAGCCTACTATACATAGCGAGAAAGCCCAGAACGTGCTGCATCTTTTCGTATATTTACATTTAAACATCAAATGCAGTTTAAAGTGTAAAAGATGTATTAGAAAAAAAGTGACATTTTTTCCAGTGCGATACCGAATGTCCATAATGTTGTAACAGTTTTTATTTCGCATATATCTCGACTTTGGTAAATGATAAAGTCTTGAATCTTTTTCAGAAGATACGCTGTGAAAAGCTCTATAAAAATTGTATAATTGAATTCCTTTTTTATCTCTTTTAATAGTTTTTCTTATATTCAAAATGAACAATCTACATGACAGTGGGTCATATGAAGTGAACCAAACTTTTGTGAACCAAAGTGCGCTACTATCAACGCAAAAGGTTTTAAAACACGTCGACAGTAGCGCACTTTGGTTCACAAAAGTTTGGCTGACTTCCCATGACCATGACAGTGTCCCTACCCATCATATTGAAAATGTTTGGAACAATATTCTAGTTCGCCATCGGAATTGGTCCATACAGCTTTTGTAGAGCTTTCGACGGCACATCTGCCTAAAAAAAATTCAATGTTCTATTATTTCCTCAAGTCGAGATATGTGCACAAAAAAGCGTCTTCCAAACATTTTCCATATGACGGGAATTGATACTGTCATGTAGGCTGTTCATTTTGACTACAAGAAAAATCATTGGAACAGCTTAAAAAGAAATTCAATTATACAGACATAAAGAGCTTTTCACGGCGCATCTTTTGGAAAAGAATTCAAGATTTTATCATTTACCGAAGCCGAGATATATGCTAAATAGAAAATGTTGCAACATTATGGACATCCGGTATTGTACTGAAAAAAATATCACTTTTTTTTTCTAATACATCTTTTACACTTTAAACTGCATTTGATGTTTAATGTAAATATACCAAAAGATGCAGCGCGTTCTGGGCTTTCTCGCTATATATAGTAGGTTAATAAATAAAAGAAGTATAGTAATAAAAATAAAAAGGACTTCAAGAGAGAAACCAATTGAGGTGCGCTGTATTAAAGAAAATGTATATTAGACAAGAAAAAAGTGAAGTATTTAAAAGAAATCTAATTTTTAAAATAGATTTTTCGTGTAAAAGAATTATACTTATACGTAGATCAAGTTTTTAATAGTGAGAGGCTATCGATTCGGTTCAACAATATTGATCAAAAATTATCATTACTCAACAGTGTTAAAAAAAAACACCTATTATAAAAATTGAATTTAAAATTAACAAAAATCAAAATTCGTTTAATTTCATGTGAATGTTAATTAGAAAGATGACTTGCGTACTTTATTTCAGTATAATGTATGATGAATCACTATGTACTTCAATAAAAACTGTCAGTCTTTCGATACTAACCAGTTCTTTACTAAACTTGAAATGAATGGATTGATGCAATACTCTATTTGATGGTTGTATCTCTTTTTTTAAGGATTAAACAATTCTTTTTCTATTCGGATATGGGTGAGGTGGACATCTGGCAAGGGGTACGATTGGTAATTGTTCTACATATTGACTAGCTGAATGCTCGAATAGTTGATAAGACAAAAAGTAAATCAAAACTCACGTTTGCTTCATCATGATACGCACCAATTGGAGCACAAGCTTTAGAGAAAGAAAGCTACATGGGCGGATATGTATAGGTATTCATCCAAAAGAAGGAATGCATCTTTTTTATTTCGAAAGCAAAAACAGTATTAGACTTGAAAAAGTGAACTTATTCTACTGTTTTCTTAAAGTACTCAATTCATCATCTGCAATAAACATGGACTTGTAGTCAAACAGATGTGATATAGAAATTTTACAGGAAGGTTCTACGAAAACCGATCAACAAATTTGTAATTAGAGAGCAACAAAACTTTATTAACAAAAGTCTTCAACTTAGATCAACAAGACGTAAGATGCTATTAGCAAACTGTAAATCACTACAAAGGAGGTATGTATTTCTCTTATGCATGGTACAGATGATATAGAATTTCATTTTTAAATTAAAAGTATTTAATTCACAGAAGTTTATGAAGTTATGCTAAAATTGATTACGATACAAAAGCTGAACCAAGAAAAAGCAATTTAATGCTAGAGTTCATCTGTGTCACTGACCATGAAGTCAACGCTAGTATGCCGTATAGAAAAAAATTAGCCATAAGTTCATTATTAAACTAAAATTCACTTGACACATTTGTTTAAAAAGTAACAAGCGAACTATTTAAAAAAATTTTTATATAACGCATTACTTCTTTACTGTGAAAAAATTCTAAGTTGCTAAAATAGTAGCAAAGTATTCAGTGGTATTACTAACTAAAATTCTTTTTTTACTCGAAAAGTGTAAAATCTGAAAAAATACTATTTATTTTTCCTTTTTCTATCGTTGAAAAGAAATAATCTTCAGGAAAGTGGTAGGCTCTGACTTTTGTTTTACAAAGTTCTGTCAAAAAAAGATTAGAAAAACTACTCATCAATTTTTAAAACTGATATTCATTATTGTGTATTCAACGAAAAGCCTTTTGTTCTTCTACGGCAAATTTCTTGCCCACTTTTGGTTTTCAAAAAGAAACGTGAAAAAGTTTCGCCCAGAGACAATATGCATCTTAGAGTTTATATGAGGGTGTGGGTGTGGGGTGGGTGTGGGTGTGTGAGTTATCTTCCCTTCATTCATACTCACACTCACAATCAAACCATCCCACTCACCCGCACCCACCCACACCCACCCAGACACCCACACCCACACCCACCCACACCCACATTCACACCCCACACACCCACACCCACCCAGACCCACACCCCACACCCACACACCCACACACCCACAGATCTTCGTGTATCAGATTTATGCATTTGCTTTTATCTGTTTTCTATATATTTTTTAACGAAAAAATCAAGAGGATCATCATTTATTATTGCGAATAAATTATTTTCCGATAAAGAATGAGGGTGTGGGTATGGGAGGTGGGTGTAAGTGGGAAATACAGATGTTCTATTCCTCTGTAACCACGCGCACACCTGCATTCAAACCCACACCCACACCCACATCCACCCACACCCACACATCCACATCCACCCACCCACGCCCTCGCGCCCACATCCCACACCCGGCCCACGCCCACGCCCATACCCACGCACACCCACGCACACCCCACACCAACACCCACACGCTAATAGAAACAAATCTCAGTGCATGTTCTTGAATTTTTTATCCTCGTTTTAACGACCAATAAATTTTCGAAAAACATTATCTTTTATTACAGTGGAATTTTTATATTGTCTATGCAAATCTTTCCTTTCTTCTAAATCCTTCACTTTTGATCTTCATAGAAATATTCTTCGAAAAGAATACGTCGGTAAAGTTAGCACCATATTCGCCATTTTCCGTCCGGATTCGCTATCTTACCTGAGTTAACTCTCATATCCATGAGTTAGATGCAGAATTTTACGCTGAATCCAATGGTACCACTTTCAAGGGGGCTCATCGAGCAAAAAAACCCCCTAAACCCCCAAATACTAGTTTTTGGACCCATTCTGCCCAGTAATCCCTGTCCGGATTCGCTATCTTACCTGAGTTGACTCTCATATTCATGAGTTAGATGCAGAATTTTACGCTGAATGCAATGGTGCCATTTTCAAAGGGGGTCATCGGGCAAAAAAACCCCCTAACCCCCCAAATACTACTTTTTGGACCCATTCTACCCAGTAATCCCTGTCCGGATTCGCTATCTTACCTGAGTTGACTCTCATATTCATGAGTTAGATGCAGAATTTTACGCTGAATGGAATGGTACCACTTTCAGAGGGGGTCATCGGGCAAAAAATCCCGCTTTCCCCCCAAATACTAGTCTTTGAACCCATTCTGCCCAGTACTCCGTGTCCGGATTCGCTATCTTACCTGAGTTGACTCTCATATCCATGAGTTAGATGCAGAATTTTACGCTGAATCTAATGGTACCACTTTCAAAGGGGGTCATCGGGCAAAAAACCGCGCTAACTCCCCAAGTACTAGTTTTTCAGCCCATTCTGCCCAGTAGTCCGTGTCCGGATCCGCTATCTTACCTGAGTTGACTCTCATATCCATGAGTCAGATGCAGAATTTTACGCTGAATCCAATGGTACCACTTTCAAGGGGGGTCATCGGGCAAAACATCCCGCTAACCCCCCAAATACTAGTTTTTTAACCCATTCTGCCCAGTACTCCGTGTCCGGATTCGCTATCTTACCTGAGTTGACTCTCATATCCATGAGTTAGATGCGGAATTTTATGCTGAATGCAATGGTGCAACTTTCAAAGGGGGTCATCGGCAAAAAAACCCCCTAAGCCCTCAAATAGTAGTTTTTGAACCCATTCTGCCCAGTACTCCGTGTCCGGATTCGCTATCTTACCTGAGTTGACTCCCATATCCATGAGTTAGATGCAGAATTTTACGTTGAATCCAATGGGGCCACTTTCAAAGGGGGTCATCGGGCAAAAAAATCCCGCTTACCCCCCAAATACTAGTTTTTGGACCCATTCTGCCCAGTAGTCCCTGTCCGGATTCGCTATTTGACCTGCGTTTAGCTGAATTTCACGCTGAGTCTCTTAGTGGTTCGTGTAAGGGGTTTGATA